ATGATGATGATGATGATGATGATGATGATGATGATGATGATGATGATGATGATTACGCATCGTCATCATCAGAAATCAAAGTTACTCAGAGTATTACCTTGCGCAGCTTCCAGAGACGATAAAGAAACTAAGAGACACAATCCAGCCAGCAGGCAAAGAGACATGATGTGTCCACTGGAAAAAGTCATCGAACAAACCAAAGCTTTCCTCACGTTCAGATTGTGAAAGGCGCAATGTTATGATTTTGTTATAGTCTGCTCTTTTATGGCATGTCTACGGAAGAAATTAAAACCCGCTGTCAAGAGTCAAGAGCTTGCTCCTTTTCGAACTCAGTTCGAAGCACATTCAGGAAATAAATAGAGTTCAAGCGAAAATTATTCTTTAGGCCAGTAAAGTATTGTTATGTAAAAAATGTATCACAATTACTGCGCAAATGTGCGAGAGCTGTAAGAGGAACTATATAATCAGATCCTTTTTTTAAAAACAGATATAGATCTGTGATGTGTTTATATCACATTATAGTAAAAAGCACTTCGAACTCAATAAGCTGTTAAGTTTAACAGCTATCCGAGCTCACTCGGTGTTGATTTGAGTACTTGACGTCCGATCTCGACTAGATTCTATACTCTTATTTCAACCAACCAAAAAAACAAATACTAATACAAAAACAAATACGAAATGGGGCCCTTATCACAACTTCAACAGACACATCATGCCACCTTTCGAATGGAAAGCAGATCGTGACATCGTTTGCGTTGTGACCATATCGCCAAGTGATAGACTATCAAATTTATTATCTCGAAAGGTTTTTCTAAACACATTCAGGATTGGTGTGGCCTTCCCTTTGTTGAAGACAGTACTCCACAATTAGCGTAGATCTAATAGATCTAATAATATGTGAGGCAACGTGGTGAAATTGGGCGCTCGTCAAAATAATGAAATCGAAGATATCGGCATGTTTCTGACGATCTGGCAAGTTTGATCAAATTCTTGTTTTTTTTGGCTCAGCACATTTTATTTCCATTTAAAAACACATTTATGTGCTGATTTTTTATGAAAATGCTGAATAAAGGCACAAAAAATATACGTTTCCAGTTTCCAATGACTCTCGAGCTTTGAAAGTCACCAAACTTTGGCGGCCATTTTCTTGCTAATTTTTCCACTGAAACCAGGTGACCCCCCCCCACCTCCTTCAACCGCAAATATCTCGACTTTTGTTCAAGTTAAATCGATATTTTTTACCAAAAGATGAACAAATGAACACGGTTTAAAATGATACCAATAACCTCTCATGCTCCAAAACTGACGAGCGCCTGATTCCACCGCGTCGAGCCACATATTATTCTTTGGAAGACTCTGTGTCCGGACTTAACTTGTGGGGGGGAAGACGTGTTTATAGGATGTAACAAGACAATACAGGGGCGAAGCACCTACATAATCGTATAATCACTGGTTCCCTTCCTTAATTATGGAAGATCGTCGCAGTCAAATTTAACCACAGACGTAGGCCTTATAAATTTGAATAGATGTTCATAAAATTACCAGTGCCGAAACTGTTTCATTGTCACATAAGATTACCCTGTTCACCCCTCTCGGGTCAATCTCATCAGCAGTCACAAGCACTGATTATGTAAGCTTACAATCATACTAGTAGAGTCTACTTAAAAAAGGGGGGAGGGAGGGCTAACTCCTAATAATAATAATCTCACTAATAATATCATGGCTGCTGTGGGGCTGTTTTTTCTTTGTTTGTTTTTTCCTCGATTTTTTACCACCGTATAATGAGGTCATAACATAATTATGACGTCGGCTCAAGCTCACGAGACGATAGAGGAAGACAGCCAAATTAGAAACGCAATTGATAATATATGTGTAGTATTATCATCTCTGTTTCTTCGCTATCTGATTGTGTATTCACATCTTCAGTTAAATTTACTGTTAAAAAATTTCGGACCATTATTCTCACCGCATGTTTACAAGTTATGTTTAAGTTTTGCCCGAAAAAGGAACAATTAATATTTAATTAGAGAGTTTCTCGATTATTTTGGCAGGTGAATATGATTCACAGTTCAGTGATGCCGGCTCGATTAGGAAATTTTTTAAAATTTTGCTCCTATTGCGGGAAAGCTTTTCTTGTGTGATCTCATTTTATTCCGTAGGTGCTTTTGTTTCCCTGTCGACATCATTTTAATCATTTATGGGGCAGGCCTCCAACTCAGCCTGTCAGGACCAACCCAGACTGAAAGGGATACGAGTAGCCTACATGCACAAATAACTGGATCTATATTTGTTAATATTTCTTCCCACTGGAGAATCGAATTCCGGTCCAGTACATGCGACAGCGAGCTGCCTAACCCTAATCGGCACACCACAGACGCCATTGGGTTCATTGATATCTCTGCATGTCTGGTTCTTTGTCTCACTTTGATTCCTCTGTCAAACAAGTCATCCTTCGCCTCTGCAGTCAATCTACAATGTATTACTTTGAGTAAAATACAATATACACTATTGTTTGAGTCTATTCGATACGTGCCTAACTGGGCGATGTCACCCACTAGAGGGTGATTTGATCATTTTGGTTGGCCGCTTGGGAATTATGTTTTTAGGCGGTACGTAAATTTAGCGACTTAAACTTAAAAGTGACAAAAGTGGGAGTTGGCTATAAAAAAAAGTTTGACATGCACTTGTCCAGTGGATTATTTATTTTGAGTGATGGGGCACGTTTGTGTGAGTGGGTAGTCTACCTGTGTAAGTATGCGTGTCAGTGTACGTTTGTGTGTGTGTGTGTGTGTGTGT